TCTATTGCTTCTTGTACAGATTGTTTTGTTTCAGAAAAATGAGGGACACAAGGGAGTAAACACTTCTTATTTCCTTTGAGAGCTGGACAGCATCCTGCAGTTGCTACAGCTGTAAGTGTATGGAAGTGTGCACCAGCTCAATGGCTCTGTTGGTTTGGGTACACCTTAATCCCCTCCCCCCCCGCTTCTTGCTGCCACTTGACTGTATCTGCTAAGCAGCAAGAGGAAATAGTATGGCTACAATAGAGATTTAAGGTGAAAAATTTGAAAAAGTCTTAATGTGCTATGAAATGATAGTTTTCAATTTACAGTTTGCAGGATTAAAACAAATAGTAACTATTCAGAGCCTTTAAGGCAAAAGAAAAAAAAAATGTCTTTTACAGAATCCATAAAATTGCCTGTCAAGAATAATTGTATATTTCTTTCCTATAAACTACTTGAGACTAAAAAACTAGTAGTAGTCCTGGTTGTGACTTTGTGCATACATGTGCCTGTCATGGTATATCATGTCATGTCATGTTATACTATAACACAACATACTTAATCATGACTTTGTGCATGCTTTACTCCTTTTTCCAACCCTACCCCCCCCATAGTGGCCTGAGCTTTGGAGCAAATCTAGTTTAATTCTCTTGTTAACACCTGCAGTCATTTTCTTTCTCTTCCTGTGGTTTTATTTGCTTGAAGTAATTGTCAGAGTGTTGTTACTGTGCTTCCTGTTTGAAGCCATAGTGAACAGTATGCAGTCAAAGGATATAGAGAGTTCACCCTTAAAAGGAACTTTAGAGATATTTTTTTAAAAGCAGTGGGCTGTTATTAAGCTCTATAATTAGTAAGTAGCTTTATTCTCACTGACACTCCACAGCATGCAGCATATTCCTGTCTGGATGAGCTAAGGTAGATGCTCTCTAACCTGCTTTTTGCCAGTAAAACACGAAGAGCCTGGAGGGGAGATTGATTTGATTATTTTTATCCTTCCTCCTTTCCTGCTCTGTTTGTTTCCTACAGAAAAGCTAATACTGCTTTAATAAGAAAAATTACTGGTGCTGTAAGAGAATCTGCTCCACTCCCACTATCCATTAATGTAGTGTTTGCACTTACTGCATTTATGACTGATACTTAACAATAAGCAGTAGTTGTGGGTTTTGCATTAGATCAGCTACTGTGGAATAAACTTTGGAGTAAAGAAAATTACCTTACTAGTTTTCGCTTTAAGTTTTAAACAATGTATCCTTTTTAATACCTTCATTTCTTCATGCTACTTAAAATTTCTATAAATGGGATGGAATTGGAGTCATGCATAAGGTATAAAAGCCTTAAAATGTGACAAAATTGTCCAGCATGACAGTCCTGTGTATTCTTGCAATGTGAACCGTACACTCTAAAGTAAGTTGCATTCAAAGTTCAGAAAGTTTAAACGGAAGAAGCAAATACGTGTTTCACCTCATCACTGTGATTAACTTTCCGGTTCAGACAGAGTAAGTGCTCTGTCTTTCTGACATGAGCCGTGTGGTGGTGTGCCACTGAGCACCATAAACTGTAAAGAGCGAAAACAAAGAGTGGCAGAGCTGTTGTCTTGAATTCTGTTCTTCAGACCCTGTTGTCCTCTTCATCTGGCAAATCTACACAGAGGAATGCAGCAACACTTGGGAACAGTGCCATATTAAAAGCTTGATCCTGTGACAAAGCAGGGAACTAGCTGTGAAGTATTGCATGTGTTTGGGGATATCATTAATCGCAGATAGGTTTGGGGTGCAGTCTGGGCTTTGCAGGAACACTTTCTCATGAGATTGCTAGCGGGCTTAGACTACATCGTTACCTGACTGGTAGCTGTAGGTCAGTATGGTGCTTTTTTTCTTTCTTTCTTTATAACCAGTAATTTGGAAAAGAACAGTAGAATTTTCCTGTTTCAACTTGTTCTTTAAACAAGCAACTAGCAGTATAAATGAAGTCCTAGTGTGTTGTTGTTGACATCACAGCGCCGATACGCCTTTTTGCCTTCAGTTTAATTGCTTTTTCTTTCCATTTTGGTGTGACGGATTTATAGCTGGTCTTTTATATTAACTTGGCCACTGTAAAAATCATTTGTTTAGCAGAGTGGGGATGTATAACATGCCAGTGCTCTAACAAGTACTGCTAAGGTTTTGTTTACCTTTTTAAGAGGTGTAGTTAATGTCAGATTTCTCCAGATTTACAGATACATCCTCCCACCACATTTTTTTTTTTTTTTTAATTAAGAGACAGATTGAAAAACTGCTTGGTACTTGCAGAACCATGAAATTAAAGGCCAATGTGACACTATGCAAGCTGTAGAAGATAAAATACATTTTTAAGAATTAATGTATTATCAAAGACTATTGTTCCCGATTTCTAGCTTGACTTTGTCATTTAGCAGCTTTTGATTGAAGGGAGGGAATTGGTTTCAGAGAGAACTCTGTCCTGGAGGGCACAAGTCCTGCATGCTGAGGGTGGCTGGGTGGAGAAAGTCTTCTGCACCCTTGAATATTTTGTAACAAGGAAGAACCTTCCCGGCTCACAGGAACAGGCACAAGCCCTTCAGGTTTGTTCCCAGGGTTTCAGCTCAACACGGCATTTAATGCTGCATGCCAGCTGTCTGTGAGCAAATGAGGAGATGGAGGGACAGAGGAATTTCCCTGCCCTTTCCATGTACATCTTCAGTACAAGGGTGTAACAGCACAACGGAAGTTAACCCTCTGTGAGAACAAGAATTTGATATGTTAGATCTGGACTTTGTCAGAAAGAGACTCTGAGGAAGCAATAATACAAGTGTGAGAAATTCAGGAGCATCAAATCAGAATATTGGGTCACTTGCACATCAAGAGAAGCCCACTGCAATGTATCCATTTATAGCTCTGGCAGGTTATAATATATTAGACTTCAAAATGCTCCGATTTTGAGTACTTGCTTTCTCGATTTCTCATAATCTGAGCAGCAAGCATGGGAGGAGCCTTGCTGTGTTTCAGAGGAACTTGGAGCCTATTTTCTCAGAAGTAAAAACAATTTTTAAGGGGAGATAAGCTGTATAAGATTTACTGGACTGAATTTGCCAGTTGTTACATGCTTAACAGGAGTTAACCATGTTTTAGTTCCAGTTTTGTTACATACTGAATCAAGTTTAGAAGAGAATTGTGTAACATGCAAATTCTGAGACTGCAGAGATCACTATTTTCTTAGGAATCTTTTCTATGTTAGTCCAGCTCTTGCTATTTAAAGTTGATCAAACTTTCAGTAACCAGAAGAATTGAGAAAATGATGTGATATTACCTAATTATGAAGTGAGAATTTCCCTAGAGACCTTTAAAGTTATTTCAGTTCTTGGATTTCACACTGTTTGCTGATAATTCCCATGTTTTATTTCAAGTTCTTAATACATACATGGAATTTAGATGATCATCTCCAAGGTAGAAAAAGAACCTTAAGTAGCAAAACCAGGTCATATTAGCACTTTACTAAGACCTCTTTTTTTGAAGTGTCTGACAAAAGAAAGAAATAAAATTGCTTTCCTCTATATGGTGTTAGTAACAGGAAGAGCTAGCAAAGCATTTTTTTCTCCCTTCCCATTCTGATCTTTAGGCAAGAAATGCCACAAACAGGCATATAAACTTAATTTAAACACTACCGGTAGCTTTTTCAAAGCTAGGAGAGACAAGTAGTTTTGCTGGGGTTTTGCTATTTGGATGTTGTTACTGCAGCATGAATTTATTTCTTGAAGAGCCTCTGTTAGTCTCTGAAAAGGTAAGAAGTGGGAGGGCTTCCCAGAGGCTTTGGATTTAGTACGGGAAGAGTGCTACTGTATTTCTTACTGTATTTCTGTATGTGTGTGTTGCAGCCAACAGTTATGGAAAGTACCTGGCTAGTAGTTGCTGCACAGTACAGTAACTTGGAATGTATGCAGTAAGTGAGGGACCTCATTGCTTGCATGTTTGGCATGTAGAGAACTGATGAAGGCAGTAGCTAAGTGGGACTGCTCTGCCACAGAATGTGCATGTATGTACATACGTAGATACATTTATGTAGTTTATCTAGCCCATGGAGTCTCCAAACCACTCCATACTGTGAGGAATTGCATACAAATAATGATGCATAGTTATGCACACATTTCTATGAATGTAGATGCAGTTGTATATAGAATTATTAAGGAATATGCATGTAAAAATTTCTGATTACTCATCATCTCACTTTCTCTGCAAGTAAAGTTTATGATAGATGGCAAGATAAATGGCTCGGCTGAAGTCTTACAGGAATTTTTATTGCAGTCTTACTGAAAGAAACCAGGTTGGAGATTAACCAATAAACATTATTTTAGCAAAGGAATGGTTGCTGTCTGGAGCCTCAGTTGTTCCACATGAGGAATTTTAGAGGTTTAAGGAAACAGTTTCAAACTCTACAAGTAATCTCATATTTTCAAGCCAACTGTACATGAAGCAGGAGGGTAGAGAGTTTGAAAGGAAAATACCTTGAGTTGACCAAGTCCAGCCATTTTGCAAGTTTTCCATATTCAGAAATTTATTTGTTTCCTCAACATTTAGAAAAGCACGCCTTTGCTTGATAGCAGTGCGACAGATTTGGGGTTAAATACTGTGTAAACCTTGCACTGTGAATGGACTGGGTAGCTTTCCCATTGAGAAATATGAAGTGTCAATAGGCACAATTCCCTAAGAAGTTTAAAGGGGTGTATGGGCAATTGTCACTTTCTAAAATGACATTTGAAAGTTAGAAACAGACCAGAGATGGCTGACAAAAGATTGGACACAAGTTCTTCATATCACTACTTCTAACCAAAGCTGGAATGTAAGCCTCATGAATTTCTGGTATGCGCCATTTTTGTTAGTCACTGTAGAAAAAAGCATGTGACATGTTTGCTACTGTCTCTTCAGTCTGTAGTTCAAGATATTACCAAGAAATCAGTGGTGTGGGTGGCTGTCTAGGAGCACAAGATTCTGTATATTCTTTTTGATGTAATGTACTTCTGTTTTCAGGTTCCCATAACGCTAGGGACCAAAGAAGCGTACATAACATTTCTGTGGTGCTGCGACGAACCTTCTGAAAGAAGACTGTAAAATAACTTTTTGCCTTCAAGTTGTTTGTCCTCGAACTGACTTGTCTTTGGGGAAGAAAACAGAAAAAAAGCTCAACAGAGAAAAGATTTTCACATTGGAACCATTATAAATAAACCTATTTAAAGGACTTGCTACCTGGAGACAGATTTACAGAGCTTGAGTCCTGCATTTCATCTGTGTTCCCACCTCAGACTGTAAACAATGAGTGAGTTTTGGTTGTGTTTCAACTGCTGTATTGCAGAACAGCCTCAGCCTGTAAGTATGAATATTGACACTGCTTTACTTTTGTATAATTAACTATATCATTCACATTTTCTGGTTTTCTTATGGCCTTTTAAATTACTGCTGTTTGGCCAAGCTCAGTGCAAATTAAGGAATTAACGAATATCCTGGTTTAGTGGGGACAAAAAAAGTCTATTGTCACACAGATATTTTCCTGTCCTTAAGTTGAAATCTATGCAAAGTCTTTGGGGAGAGCCTTTATTTGTTTGAAGAGGAGGGGAAAGAAAGAGTGAGGAGTACCTAAACTATAATTCTAAAAGTAATTTTTGAGTAGACATCTGTAAATATCTTGACTTCTGTATGGCTTAAGGCCTGCCTTCAGCTGAGGCTGGACAATGATGAAGGAAGGAAATGATTCTGTTGAGTCCAGACTGAAATCCCATTCTCCTCCACCTTAATTTAAATAAGGATTTCAGCCTTAATTGTTTTGTTAATATTTAGATTAAACCTTAGGAGAGTGAAGGGATGCACTCATACTGTAAATACTCTTTTTTTTTTTTTAAATAGAATTTGTAACAGCTGTTGTGTGAAAAAGTACGTAGCAAAAACAGTTGGATAAAAGAACACTTCAAAGCATAAGCAAGGAAAACAGAAAGTACAGAAATATTCTTGGGTTTCATATCCTCTAAGTACCTTTAGAGTGTGTTCCTTTATCTGGTGCTGTTGGGAGAAAGTCTGCCTGCACGAAGGTGGAATTAACCAGGAATATGGTTAGCACTGTGAGAAAAATTATTGTGTGGTGTGGCATCCAGATCAAGCTAAATAAATGTATAGAAAGGACCATCATCTTGCATATAAGCAGAAGAGCCCAGTTACTACTAAAGGATATGCTGGAATTACAGTGACAAAGAAAATCTCAGAGTGAATAAAGCACACTCACGTTAATATGCTCAGATTATAATATTTTGTTTTAAGGAAGCCAAAGGATTAAAAAAAAAAAATATATATATATATAGTGTTAGGTGTTGCCATTGCACAAAGCCTGAATGCCATGGCAATGCAAATATTAAAGTGTGACCATGAACATTGCTAACAAATGAGTGCAATTTATCTTTTAGTCAAGTAGAGTTTTGGGAGATGAACTCTGAGACACCAGCATGGGAAGCTGCAGTCCTCTCCTGTCATTTGAATACCATGCAGTCCTTTAAAACACTAGCTGTGTCCACACATAGCCAAAGTTATTTGCCTAGTTTTTGGAATGTATATTTCAATTAAAAATAAGGTATGACTGTTTCTATCTTTGAGGTAGAAAATGGCATATTCTGTTTGTTTACAAGAATCCTGAGGATCGGTCCTTATAAAATCTTGACTCAAGATTTATGATACAATTAAGTTACTGCCCAAGAAATAACATAGTGTGTTAACACAGCATGTAGTGATCTATGGATCATGACTCATGAAAAGGTCAGAGAACGTATTTCAAAAGTGGAGAAAAGGGAAACAACCTATTTTTGCATGTTTGCTGATCTGGTGGTGTGCATTTGCTTAGGAAATTAAAACCATCCTCATGTTTAAGATGCAAATAGCACATTGCTGAGCATTCACCTAGTACCTGAAACCTGCCTTTCAAATGTTGTAGGAGCCTTGCTTGTTATGAAGTGCCAAAATTCTTCAGGAGACATCTGAGAAAAAAGAGTTGTGGGCCCTCCTTGGCGTGCTTAACAATAAGTGCTTAAGGGCTTCCTCTGCAGTTGCTCAGCTCATTTTGCTGTGTTCTGTTGTACAGCCGTTGTTCAGCCATGCACTGTTGCAGTAAGTGGAGTATTTAATCAGATACATATATATATATCTGAGTAAGTATAGGAATTTTTTTCCTCTCTGACATGTAGCAAAGCATGTACTGTCAGTGTGAGCAAATTGATAAAGCAGACAGGTGATGGGGAAGCCATTTTTACCTCTCTCTGCACAGGTGTTGTGTAATTGCATGTTTGGGAAACCTACATGTTGAAAACCATGCTAGTTTTTAGCACCAAAATACTGGTACTTATTGCCTTGTTCTATCAAAAGATAGGTGAAACATGCAAACTTGTGTAAAAACTACTTGTCTGTCCCCTACCATGCACTCAATCTCTCAGCTGAGTCCATTTTCTCAGGAAAAATTCTTTATCTGCCCATTTTCATCTTTTCCATGTGCCCTCTTTCATTTCACCTCCTGCATCCTAACTTCTTCTTGGCTTGACTAACAGTCTCCCAGACATCACTTTCGTGTTCAGTCATTACAAGTTCAGCATGCTCCTTCTGTGGAAGGACTAATGTGGTCTTACAGCAACATGGATAGCCACCAGCCTCTCAGAATAAAGACCTTGAAAGCAAGAAGTTACTTAATTTTCTACTTGTTCTGATCAATGCGTAAATTGTTCCTTTTGTTTTTAAACTTACCTTCTCTGAAACTCAATTTTTTTTATTATCTTCGTCAGGTGCTGATAAATGGGACACCTTTAATGGCATGGATAGTGACATAAATTTAAGCTTCACTGAAGAAAAAAAATCCTGGAACTTCTAGTAGTTGCATGTTTTTGTGGTATTTATAGCTTCCATTGAGCTAAGGAGTTTTCCTCCTGTCTTGAAACCCAGGATGCAGGAACTGTCTCTGTTGTTTTCTGGCAAAATTCTAGGATATTATCTTAGGAGTCTTCAGTACAGCTTCTGCTCTTTGCAGCTATAGTGCACTTAAAATGGAAAATGCATACATGCACTGAGTCCTTTCAGTCAATTTTATAGAAGACTGTTATTCAGACTGTACACAAAGGCATTTTCTGGGCTATTGCCAATACTCTGTATGGCTTCTAAACTTGCATACTAGTGCTTTTCAGTGTGTTTTCATTGATTTGAACCATGTCTTTTTAGGTAAGATTTGCAAACTTTATGGCAATAAGAACACATTACTTACCGAATTTCACTGCTGTCACTTCCCTAATGGAATACTGCGGAGCATAACAGTAACGATGTTGCAGTTATATATTAGTGCACCTTAATTAGTTCCTTAATTAAAAGGCAGTGTTCAAGTATTACCACAATCTTTTACTGAAATGTATCACAACACAGCTTTTTGTCTTTTTTCAGTGCTAAATGGATGCACCCTGTAGCTTTGAAATAAAACATAGGCATCTTAGAAAGAAGTGTTCTATTCTTTCTCCTAACGTTACTTTAGTTGCTAAATACTTCACTTGATGTTTCCAAGACTGCAGTACTCACAGTAAGATCATGGAAGGGGCATGTTTCAAGATGGGTCTCTCTGCTTCTCTGAAATAGGGTGATAGACCAAGAAATTGAATGTGCAAAGAAACAAAACTAAATAGTGACACCATTAAAGAAGCATGTTCCTGACACTGTCTTAGGTCTTCCTTCTTAATAGCCTGAGGTCTTTACTACAGTAGAATGCAAACAAAAGCAAAGGGAAGGTGTTTTCCTGTCAACTTTTATTTTTTTTTCTTATCAGATTTAGGTTGATAATATATTTTACCACAACGAAGACTTAAGAAAACTAGTTGCTTTCATATCTGTTTTCATGATATCAAGGAGGTGATGTTAATCTCTTAATGACTATGTTCAGGTTTCCCTGGTTGTTTTAAATAGCCTGAATTCAATCTCTTATGATCTGATCTAAACATCCTTTTTTTTTTTTTTTTAACTTTGAAGAGAGTAGCTCTTCCTGTGATTGCACCAGTCTTCTTACATCTCCCACTGTTACCTTTCTGGTACACTGATCTAGCACTTCCAAGTGACAAGATGAGTCTTTCTTCCCATACTTCCTATGTGTTATCATCCCATTCACTGCTAGGTTTCAGTGAACTCTGCCAAATCCCCACTACCAGATGCATTGCTTGATAACAAGTTGGGAGCCCTTTCTGTCCATTTTTAACTTGAAAAGTTAATTTTTGGTCTGAGAAGTGTTTGGTCATGATCTGCTGCATTCCTGTTTTGGGCCACTGCCAAGTACAGCTGAGCTCTTGTTTCCTTTGACCTTGCAGTAAAATCACTAGACTACTATAAAAGCATAAACAGTGCTCTCCTTGCTCCGAGCTTCCTTCTCTGGTTAATTGGTTTCTGTTTTGTTGCTTGCTTCTTGTTTAGATGATTTCCATTTTGTGTTTTGTTAAAGGGCTATTACAGTTTTGCTGCATGCTATGCCATAAATGTTTAAAGTGGTTTAGAAAGTGAATTTTCCTCCACATCTTTTGGGACATATGAAAGAGGATTGACAGATCTACATTTAGAGTGGGGAGGCCCATCCTAAAATACAGGCAGAAAAAGCCCTGCACATACTGCTGTATTTTATCAACTGAACTGAATACTGAATGCTACAGAAGACATAAATGATGTTGACTGTGGTTACTTAAGGAAATTAGCCACTGATTGATATTGTCAGCTCTAGATTTTTTTCTAGAGAAGGAGTCACAGATATAGATAGCTAGGGCTACATCTACCACTGCAACTCCTAAAAACTTGTACACAATAAGGATAATGAAGTGTTCAGTATGCAGAATACATCACCCTCAGTAGGCATGCACTGTAAATCAGGTGTTTGCTACTGAGTAAGTACTGGGCCAGGCTCTCCATTCAGTACAGCAGTGCTGTAAAAGCACAGCTGCTGCCTTGAAATGACTGCAACTCAGGCTCTCTTATTCATTAAAGCTGATCAGCCTACCACATTCAGTAAGCCTATGAAAGGCTCAGATGTAAAAGGTGACAACTCTAGAGAGTCCTCAGATTTCAGTTGTCATATTGAGTTACATATTGAGCTGCCAGTTCAGATGTTTCAAATTCCTTCTTTTTCCTATTCAGTGCGGTTATAGAAGTAGCCTGAGGGAACATTTTATCAAAGGGAGCAGAGTTAAATAAGCAGCAAAGTGCTTGACTTTTATCTCTCAAACCTGATGTTTGTGCTGCCTTCAGTCTGATAGAGCTGCTTTAGATTTTTCTTTTGCCTTTAAATTAGCCCCCACAGTCTTAAAAAAACATCTGTTGTGATG